AGGGAGAGAGGGGTAAAAAGGGAGAGAGAGGGAGAGAGAAAAGGGAGAGACTCCAACATTAAATTTTAACTTCAACTGCTAAATTGGTGACTCTCAACCCTGGAACTGGAATGCATGGAGCTTTGGAAAACTACTTATGTCTGAATTGTTTCTGGATTCAAATACTATTTATTTGTTTGTTTGTTTATTTTTTGAGACAGTGTTTTTCTGTATAACAGCCCTACTGGTCCTGGAATTCCCTCTGTAGACCAGGCTGACTCCAACCTCTCAGAGATCTTTCAGCCTCTAACTCCCTAGTGCTGGAATTAAGTATGAGCCATTATACTCACTCAGCTCCAGATACTTTTTAAAAAAACTTAACCACTGTGCAATTATGTTTAGCCCATGGATTCAGCATTTCTTTAAACCTTAGCCAGACAGAGTAACGCAAGCATCACACCTGTAATGTAAGCATTTGGGGGGCTGAGACAGGAGGACTGCTGCATGTTGAAGGGCAACTTTGGTTACATAGAGAGTTCTAGCATAGATTACAAAGTAATAACCTGTCAGACTACATACAGAGTAAGTGAAAGATTAACTTGGCTCATGCAGTCAGACTTTCTCAAAAATAAAGAACACTCAAGGGCAGAGGCAGATGATGTCTTTCAGTTCTAAGACCAGCCTGGTCTACATAGTAAGTTCAGGACATCCAGGGAGACATAATTTAAAAAAACAAAAACAACAACAACAACAACAAAAACCAAAAAACACCAAGAAAGCAAGCAAGCAAATGAGAGGCTGTTTCAGAATCAATAGGTTTAAAGACAATTCAAGATCCAGCCAGAATGACTGAAGTCATTGCCAAAAAACAATTGGAGAATACAGTCTATGTGAATACAAAAGTAATGACACCATTAGGGACCTAAGGAAACTGACTGTAGCCCAAACAGGACTATTGAAGGATATCTGGTTGCACTGTGAATCCAAGATTGTGTTATTTACTGGAAAAAAAAATTGTTTTTAGTCTTGGCGTGGCTCAGCCTTAGCACACACTTTCTAAGAGCTTTTTGCTTGAATACTCTAAACTGGATAAAGTCAACCATAGGTCAAGAGATAGAGCAGTAGCCAGTTGACAGGTAGTAAACATATGATTATTAACAAAAAAACCACAGAGAGTAAGAGGGAGTCAGAAGAACAGACAGAGACAATAGGAGGTAGAAAGGAAGGACATTCAGTTGGAAGGTTTTTCGAGGAAGGTCAGCTGGGTGCTTTCTCTGCCTCTCTGAGCTAGCAGGCTTTCACCACAGCATGTGTCCCCCAAGTCTTCATCGGTAAAGTTGAAAGATTTTTGAGATTTTGTTAAAAACAAAAAACAAAACAAAACAAAACAAACAAAAAACACCATAGGATCTTGTCAGAATAATATTTTTTTAAAAAAAGAGATGGTCCATTAACTTGTGAGCACATGTCTGTGGGAGATCGTGAAACCCAGGATAGGATGAACATGAAGCTATTTTCTTTCTCCTTGCCCTGTCATCCTTTCCTGCCCTTACCTGTTACATGTGTATGGATGCTTATTTCTAACAATCCCTATGCATAGAAACAAATGCTAAAATAAACGAGTACATAAACAACAAGGCACACAGGAGGTCTCCAGCGGGGCACGGCAGCAGACGCTTTCAGTCCCAGTGTTCAGGAGGCAGAGGCAGACAGATCTCTAAATTCAAGGCCAGCCTGCTCTATAGCGTGATGTCTAGGAAGGCTAGGGCTATATAGAGAAACCTGTCTCAGGAAAACAAAGCAAAATAAACCAAAGAAAACAAAAACAAAAAAAGACCAAAGAGTGCTTCAGATAACTCAGAGGGACAGCATTTTACTAGTATACAGAAGGCTCTGGGTTACATTCTACAACTACCTGTAACCCCAGCACTAGGGTATCTAAGTGCAAAAATACTGCCATGAGACCAGTAGGGCAAATCTAGCCAAGAGTGTGACTGTGTCAGAAAAATACAAAATCACAGAGTTGATTCAAGGATTCAACTTATCAAAGTGCTTGTCATCCAAACCTGATGAATTTGATTATCAAAACCACCATGTAAAAAAACAGACTCTGTCTCAAAAGCTCCACTAACACAAGTTACATACACATACAGTGTGATATTACCTTTATCAAGAGTAAGAATTCCTGAGCGATCTTCTACATTAATCAAGCCAACTCCTATCAGTCCTTGCCGAACATCTATAAGAAAGCAAAATTATGAAAAATCTTCAGAATCCAAATAACATAACGAGCGTTGATCTAGCAAGATGATTTCATGTACAGGGGCTGGAGAGATGGCTGAACAAACAAGAACACTGGCTGCTTTTCCAATGAACCAGGCAGGGTTTAATTCAGTACCTCAAGACCATTCATAAGTGCCTGTGGTATTCCAGTTTCAGAGGATCTGACACCTTCCCCAAACATACATTTAGGTAAAACACCAATGCACATGAAATAAAAATGAATTAACCTATGTATCTTATTCTATTCCAGTAATCTGTATTAAACTGGTAACCAGTGTACCCAATAATCTCTACCCAATCCAAAACCCTAAACCACCAAATCTCACACTGAGTGCCTGGTTTGTCTGTTTCTGGTGGTTTTGGTAGTACTAAAGACTGAACTCTAGGCTGTTATCACTAAAACTTCCCCTCCCTTCATTAAAACAGCACTCAAGAGGTTAAGGCAGAATAGCTTCAAGTCCAAAGTTCAGCATGGGTGAGTTTCAGGCCAACCTGTGTCTCTCAAAAAACTAAAATAGAGCTGCAAGACTGCTCAGTAGGTAAAATGCTTGCTGCCAAGCCTCTGACCTCCACATATGCTATGAACTCTGATCACCCAGTCTCAACATTCAATTAATTAAAATAAAGAAAAAATTAAAAAAAAAAACCCTTATCTTTTAACAAGAACACCTTGTATATTCTTGACCTTTTATCTAGAAGCCCAGACACAGAACTGCAACAATTTTGCACAAGTAAAAAAATAGCTGACTACTAACTACATAAATACATCATAATGTTTTCATTCAGGTTTTACCTAGAACTAATGTAAAACACTAAAATGGTAAATGTTGAATAAGCAGCCAACCTGCCATAGGAAACCTGATAGAACTCCCTTTGAATCCTGAGACAGGGTCTCGTCATGTAGCACTGGAAGTCCTGTAACAAGGTCTGCAGAATTCACAAAGATTTGCCGGGCAGTGGTGGCACACGCCTTTAATGCCAGCACTTGGAAGTCAGAGGCAGGCGGATTTCTGAGTTCAAGGCCAGCCTGGTTTACAGAGTGAGTTCCAGGACAGCCAGGGCTACACAGAGAAACTCTGTCTCAAAACCCCCCTCCCACCCCCCCCCCCCCCCAAAAGAACCCCCAAAAACCAACATACAAAAAAATAAAAAACAAACCCTAAGTTACTGTCAAAATGAAAACAACTTTTCTTTACAAGCACTGTATACCAGGCATACACATGGTGCTCCCACACACATGTAGGCACTCATAAAAACAGAAGGAATTATAAAAGATTATTTCTTTTGATCTTTATGAATATGTATGTTTGTCTATATGAAGGCATGTGCACTCTGTGCAGAGATTCCTTCTGGCACTAGAGCAGCATGTCGCATCCTCTAGAAATAGTCACCAAGAATTACGAGCACCAATGTGGTGCTGAGAACTGAACCCAGGTATTTTTTGAAGTAAATTTCTATCTCATTTGTATACACAAGCACAGACGCTTTACATGTGAAGGGTAGACACTTCAATGGCTGTTTTCCTCTTTCCATCATATGGATAGTAAGTATAACACACAAAACCTCCCTCTCTAAGGCTACCTAGGCAAGCTCTATATACACACCCAGGATTTTTACTAAAGAATTCTCAAACAAACACAAAAGGAGAAAGACACGTTATGAACCACATGTGATGGGCACTCATTTGATATTACTTCGCTTTCGCTTTAAATATTTGTTTTGAAGATTAAGTTATTGTTTTGGGTTTTTTTTTTGTTTTCCAAGACAGGGTCTCATATGGTAACTCTGGCTGTCCTGGAACTCACTCTTATAGAACAGGCCAGCCTCCAACTCAGAGATCCATTTGCCTCTGTCTCCTGAGTACTGAGATTAAAGGTCTGTATCACTATGCTAGTCTTTCAAGATTTATTTATTTATGAGTGCTCTGCCTATATGTATGATTGGCGTCACATGTGTTCAGTGTCCATGGAGGCCAGAGGATGGCTTTCGATACCCCAGAACTGGAGTTACTTTACTGATGGTTGTGAGCCACAACTAGGTGCTGGGACCAAAACCCAGGTCTTCTCCAAGAGCAACTAGTGTTCCTAACTGCTGAGCTATTTGCTGAGCTATCTCTCTACACCCTGACTTCATCTTTTTTTTTTTTTTAATAGACAAGGACTCACCATAGGCTGGTCCTGAAATCATCATCTTCTTGTCTTGCCAAGTCTAGTTCTGGGATTATCGGAATACACTACTGTGCCTCCTTTGACACTGGGGATGTAAGCTAGGCCTTCACACATGCAAAGCATACAGTGTACCAACCAAAATATCTTTCTTCCAAGTTATAATCATTTTTAAGTTACCTTTAAAGAATTCTCCAGGGTAGTCTGGAGGTGGTGATACCATAGGAGAATCCAAGTTTACAATGGATTTCATAACGATTTCTAAAGCATTTCTTCCATACTGTAATAAAACAAAAAATGATGTTTTAACCAGGTTCAACATCTGTGTAATTTTTAAACTAATTAAATGCTATAATAAACTATAATTGTATCAAATAGTCAGAAACAATGGACATGTTTTAGGACTGCCTATTCTGTGCCTGTTCAGACAGCAGACATTCAGTACGTTAATGACTTCCTTCATTTCTAATAACTTAGCTTCATGTTTTTCCAAATACTCTAGGAGTGTTTTCCAACAGGAATAAAAAAATGTGCGTACAGATCTATGATGTGTCAAGTCCTGTCTCATATGAAGATATAGAAGGCAAAGCTGACAACAGCAAGTAAGTAGAGTGTTTAGTCCCACTAGGGACACTGAAACGTACCTTGTTGTCAAAGTTGAACCTGCTCAGATCTCTAGACTCTGTTGCTCGTCTGTCGCCATGTGTAAGTGCCCCCTGACAAAACACAGAACTCCTGGTCAAACCCTCATCAACCTTCCCAGAAGTCAGCTAACAAAATCATCTGGGATGCATATCTAACACAATTCAAAACTTACCAAACTCTCAAGTCTCTTAGCCACAATAGATGCAAATCTCTGTTCTCCAGCCAGTTCCGAAATCAAAAAGACATACTCTGGAGCAGTCACTTGGTTTGACCTGTGTGTTCTTCCTGTAACAAAAATTTGTACAGTTCAATGACCACGTTCATTAGGTAAAAATAGGCTATTCTGAGACCCTAATTCGTAGCTTTAATACTTAATAGGTATAGAGACAAGGTCTTGTGTAGTCCAGGGTAGCTTCAAATGCACTATCCAGCTTAAGTTAGGCCTTAAGACACCTGGTATTTCTGTGTCTACCAATCAAGTACCGAGAGTATAAGCCTGCACATCAACCTGGCCAAGCTAGTACCAACAAAATGCCCTAAAAAGGAAAATTAAAGACAACAAACCCTTCTCAGCTCCTCATAATAGCAATTTAAACTCTAACCACTGGCATCACCACTCAAGGATCAGAATGTGCCATAACTGTCCAAACGTCGCCATCATTTGGTTAGCCAGTGTTACTATATAGCCACTTTAGATGTCATGTGTAGGTCACCAAGTCACAGGATCATGCATATGAAAATTAGAGTAATGTACCCCACATGCCACAGCTATTACAGAGCTGAAACAACTGTGGAAACAGTGGTCTGCTGTGAAAGACCCACACAGTGTACCAATCTACAGTGAAGATACTTCCTACCAGAGATCTCCATACCATTTGAAAACAGGCAAAAATAAATTCATCATTCACTGCACATCACAGTAGACAGGGACCACACTTCCCATATAGAGTCTGAGAGTTCCATCAGCTCCTGGTATCTCATACAGGTGGGCTCTCAGATAGTCTCACCTTCCTTCCCAGTGGGACCCCGTGGAGACACTTACCAAATTGCTGAATAGCCCTGTCAGCACTCCAGGGCAACTCTAAAGTCATGTGAACTCTTCGCCGCTGATTTTTAGCTCTTCGATCTGCTTGTAATGAAATACCTGAGCTGGCAGCTTCTGAGATAATAGCGATATTCTGTATCAAATTAAAAAAGGAAACAAAAATCACCTCTCAGCAAAGGGAAAGAGAACTTCCCACTAGTGTGTGCCCTGATCTTGTCTCATAGTAATAAGATGCCCTAGTGTCATACACTGGGCATATGTTGTCCAGAACCAAGATTAGCTGTTCCAGTCTCCCTTACTAAGCATGAGCACGTAGGCAAGCTGCAACCAGTGAAGGACAGGTGGGAAACATAATATAAAGGAAATGGTTGTGAAGTAGAAGACAAGGCCATGTGTCCTGTAGCCTTCTAGGGCTTGCACAGCATGCAGGAAGGTTTTATTGTCACCACCAATCCTAACATAAGTGGGGAAAATGCCAGTGATGCAGCTCACAAGTATAGAGTGCTTACCTAACAAGCATGAGGCCCTCAGTTTAAGGGCCAGGACAGGAAGGGTGCAGACATGATGGTACATAGTGTAATCACAGTATGCAGGAGGCTGAGGCAGGAGGGAAAAAGGAGTTCAAAACCATCCTGGGCTAAAAACAAGACCCAGGCTCAACAAGACAAAAATAATGGTGGTCCTGCCTATTCCAGAGGCTGAGGTAGGAGAATCACTTGAAACTAGAAAGTGAAGACAGACTAGGTAGAGTAAGGTCCTATCTAAAGAAAAGGAATAGAGGGAGAGGAAGAGTAAGAGGAAAAGGAGTAAAAAACTTTTTGAGACAGTCTTATGTAGGCAAAGCTCGCCTAAAACTCAGGATCCACCTGCCTCAGACTCCCAAAAGTTGCAAAATTACAGGTATATGATGCCACACACTTAGCCAATACAGAAACATGTATACAAGAGAAGAAGTATCTTGTTTAAACTGTAAGTAGGGAAAAGCAACTGCTGCATAGTCTAGTAACTTCAGTTCAACCCCAGGAGTCAATGTAGCAGAGGGAGAGAACTGACTCCCAGTTATCCTCTAATTTCCACACAAATGCCATAGCATGCCTATTCACAACCATACTTCTACACAATAAAAAAAAAGTGTTAATAATTTTAAAAAATAGCAATATACTGATTTTGACAAACACTTGAGCCTAGGTTCATGAGATAATCACATAAACTCTAACTCAAATCCCAGGGTACCTGACATAGTCTTCTGGCCTCCAGAAGCACCCAGAACACACTTGGTGCATATATATATATATATATATATATATATATACACACACACACACACACACACACACACACACACACACACACTCTCTCTCTCAGGCAAAACACTCATACACAAGTGGGCGTGGTGGCATAAATCTTTAATCCCAACACTTAGAGGAAGGAAAAGCAGACAGAGACAGGTGAACTTCTAAGTTCCAGGCCAATCTGGTCTGGACAGCTCCTGGCCAAGCAAAGGCTATACAATGAAAACTGTAGAAGGAAGAGGAAGGAAGAGGAAGGCAGGAAAAGGCAGGGAAGAGGAGAAGAAAGTCAGGAATTGTGGCCTCAGCCTTTAATCACAGCTGAGGCAGGCAGATTTCTGAACAGTAAGCCCGCCTGGTCTACAGAGTTCCAGGACAGCCAGGGCTACAAAAAGAACCTGTCTTAAAAACCAAACCAAACCAAACCAAAACAAACAAACAAACAAAAAACCACCAAAACAAAATAAAAGGCTGGAGAGATGGCTCTGATGTTAAGAGTATGGGCTGCTCATCCAGAGTTCCGTAGTTCAATTTCCAGCAACCACATGGTGGCTCACAACCATCTGTAATGGGATCTGATGCCTTCTGTCATGCAGGTGTGCATGCAGATAAAGCACCCATATACATAAAATTTAAAAAAAGAGAAAAACAAAACAAGATAAAACAAAAATCCACATGCACAAAGACAATAAATAAATATAAAACTTTAAGAAAGCAATTTCTTTCTTTAGGTTGGAGACAACACAGTGGATAGGAACATCTGTTCACAGAGAACCCAGACTTGATTCCCAGACACACACAATGGCTCACCTCCATCTATAACTCTCGTTCTAGGTGACTCAATGCCCTCTTCTGCCTCTATGAGCACAATGAGCACACACAAACACATCATTCATAATACATATAAAATAAATAAAGTTTGTCTTTTTTTGAGATAATCCCTGGCTGTGTTAGAACTCACTCCGTAGTCGAAACTGGCCTCAAACTCAGGTATCTACCTGTCTATCTCCTGAGTGCTAAGATTAAAGGTGTGCACTACAATTTTGGCAGCCTGGCAAAAGAATGTACAACTTTTTTTTTTTTTTTGGTTTTTCGAGACAGGGTTTCTCTGTGTAGCCCTGGCTGTCCCGGAACTCACGCCGTAGACCAGGCTGGCCTTGAACTCAGAAATCTGCCTGTCTCTGCCTTCCAAGTGCTGAGATTAAAGGCGTGTGCCACCACTGCCCTGCTTGTATATCTATTTTTTAAAACTGTATTTCTTTCAAAAAAAAAATGTCATAAGCAAAATGTTTATAATTATCGAAGTAGATGGTAAGAATGGATCTGATAGCTGGGCAGTAGTGTTGAACCTTTCTTGTGGTCCTCTTTCTTTCTTTCTTTTTATTTTTTTTTTTTTTTTTTTTTTGGTTTTTCAAGACAGGGTCTCTCTTGTGTAGCCCTGGCTGTCCTGGAACTCACTCTGTAGACCAGGCTAGCCTCGAACTCTCGAACTCAGAAATCTGCCTGCCTCTGCCTCCCAAGTGCTGGGATTAAAGGCGTGTGCCACCACCGCGCGGCCTTTTCTTTTGTTTCCATTCACTGTAACAACATGAACAGAGGTATTCCTCATAGGCTAAAAGTATGAAATCATCAGCCAAAATAATTCTTGTCCTAAATGGTCCGGTAGATATTTAATGGCAGCTTTGAAAACTAATTAACACAGAAGGAATAAAAGGGAGGGAGGGAAGGACAAGAGAGATTAAAGCAATCACTATTTTTATATTCAGATTATGGTATCCTTACTATCTCTCAATGTAAAATTTCAGACAAAGTCTCATATATTCCAAGCTAGTTTAAAACTCCTGCTCTAAAATCCAGCCAAAAAGAATGAGCTCCCAATCCTCTCTCTCTCCACTTCTAAGGTGTACCTCCTCACCTGGCTTGTGCACTTAGAAGCTCAAAGGTTCTCATGCACAATACAGAATCTAGACTACATTTACCTTATAGAAGAAACTTGAGTATGTACAATAATCAGTACAATTGCTAATAAAAATAGACAACTCAATAAGCATATAACCGATGCTGTGGGTGTGGAGAAGTGGAGAACAGATTCTTCTGAAGCTGAAAACATATGCAGGCGCCTTCTAATGAAAAGCACCTAAGGAAAAACTACCTTGTCTCCATCCATGAACCTCTGCTTCTCCGTGATGTTCAGAATCTCCACAGGCACATCAAGCTCCGACCTGGACTCGTAGGATATGCTGCCGTCATCGTTGCTCACCACCCGCCCCTTGCGGCCGGTCATCTGAGACACAAACAGCAACAGAGGTGTAAGGAGCCTGCCTGGCTGCGAACTCGAAACATGGACGACATATGTTGTCACTCAGGACAAAGAAATATTTCCAACAAAAAAAATGGTACATGGTCACAATCACTGAAGATGCACAAGAGTACAGGAATCAAGCATAGTCCAAACAATGAAACAAGGAGGACAGGATTTCTGTAGTCATATCATGAGAAATAAAGCAGAAAAAGGCTTTTAAGGATATTCATTTCATAGAATTTAAAGTGAAGAAAGGGACTAGAGAGAGAGAGTTCAGCAGTTGAGCACTGACTGCTCTTCTGGAGGCTGTAAGATCAATTCCCAGCACCCACATGGTGGCTCACAACCATCTGTGATGGGATCCGATGCCCTCTTCTGTCATGCAGTCATACAACAAATAGAGTACTCATATTTGTATATAAACAAATAATTTTTTTAGTTTAAAAAAAATTAAAAATTTTAAATAATTTTCTTTAAAAGATGAAGAAAATGTTATCAAGAGGGAACAGAGCATCAAGCACATCTATTTACCTCGGCCACGTTTTCAGGACCACCCAGTTCATCGATGAGTTCATCCAAGGTGTTAGGAGGGAGGTCTCCTGCTAGTTTTTCTAGTTTCTCCAGCAGGTCTTTCTTCATCTGCTGGGCCCTTTCGACAGCATCTTGACTTGTTATAAGGCTGCTGTTACTGTTGCTGTTACTGTTGGCTGATAAAGAACATTTGTTACTCATCGGTCAAATTTCAATACCCGACTTCATCAATAGCATATTTCCAAATCAGAAGTTTCTGTGTGGTACCTGGTGCACTGTTGGAAGCAGGTGAGATGACTGGGGCAGAGGAGAAACTAGGCCGCTTTGATCCAAGACCTGATGCTAACAAGGCACTTTGAATGGAATCTGGATCTATACTTTTCTTCTTTTTTTTATCTTTGTTTTTCTTATGGTCTTTCCTAATTAACCACGGATCTAAAAAGATTAGGCAAATATGTATAAAATCACTTATTAGAACATTATGGAATCTTTAAAGGAGGAGGTAAGTTTAGCTTTGCTGACTGCTTGTAGAAGTAATGTCAATCAGCAGTGTCCAGCGCACTCACTCATACACAGAAAGATACCATTCCATATTCTTGTTAAAAAGTGCAAGCCCATGGATGGCCTGGTCTTGCATTCCCTTGATCGCAGAACTCAGGAATACTGAGGGAGAAGGATATGATCCGGAGTAAAGTCACAACCCCCAAAAATATAAAGAAATATAAAGAAATGAATGCACAGTTCTACAACATCCAGGGCTACACAGTGAGACCGACTGTCCCAACATAAGAAAAGGCACAAAGCTGAGATCATCCCCTTTTATCTTAGAGTCAAACCTCTAGTAGGTAGACAGACAAGCTTGTTCTACACTAACAAAAGATTAGAATCTGTTGGATCACAAATATTAAGTATAAAAAAAAGCTTCATTTATGTTTTTAAAGGTTTGTCTAATTTTTTTTTTTTCGAGGCAGGGTTTCTCTGTGTAGCCCTGGCTGTCTTGGAACTCACTCTGTAGACCAGGCTGGGCTCAAACTCAGAAATCCACCTGCCTCTGCCTCCCAAGTGCTGGGATTAAAGGCGTGCGCCACCACCGCCCAGCTGAGGTTTGTCTAATTTTTAATCACAGGTATTTGTATGTATTTATATGGAGATTGGTGCTAGGTGTCTTTGGAGGCCAAATGCTCCTGGAGCTGGAGTCAGGAAAGTAACAAGCCCTCAGACTTGTACTGACTTGCAAGAACAGTATAACCACTGAGCCATCTTTCCAGCACCTAGAATAGGTTCTCTTTCTTGTCTGTTTTTGAGACAGGGTCCCACTGTGTAACCTTGGCTAGCCTCTGCTTCCCACACAACAGCTCAGTATCCTGCTCACATGCAAGACTTGCATGAACTCACCATCCTCGTTGTCCTCACTGGACTCATCTCTGAAAGGGTTGAAATCGTCATCCTCACCAGAGCTCATGTTTTTAGAGCTCTCATAGTCGCTTTCTTCGTTCTCAGAGACGTCGGACTCACTTCCACTGTCATCAGAGCTGCTGCCCGTAAGGCCACCAACTTTCCGTGCTTTTTTGGCTTCTCGAGTAATTTCCTCACCTACACTCAAGCCCCAAACAAGCAAGAATCAGCTAGAAATTCATTATGTATTTTTGCTTTGGTTTGTTTTGAGATGGTGTGTGTGTGTGTGTGTGTGTGTGTGTGTGTGTGTGTAGAGAGAGAGTGTGTAGAGAGAGTGTGTGTGTGTAGCCCTGGCTGTCCTAGAACTTGCTCTGTAGACCAGGCTACCCTCAAACTCAGAGAGATTCATCTGCCTCTGCCTCCCAAATTCTGGGATTAAAAGTGTGTGCCACAATTGCCCAGCCTCAATTTAGTGTTTCTAAAGAACTACTGTGTCATATTTTACTTTGTGAGTTGAGTCTAGTGAGAAGTGCAGACAGCAAGAGTGAAGAACAAAGCAAGTTTACAAGAACGAAGAACTCAGGTATAGTCAGTTACTCAACAAAAAACTAGATATATAAATACAAACTCAAAACTGATGGAAAAGAAAATGAGGAGCTGGATCAAATCATATTATATACACGCGTAAAATTCTCAAACTATAAAATTAAATAAAAACTCAAGATTAAGTTCAAACATAACCAAAGTCACACTCACAATTAACTTACTAAGCAGTTTTGAAGAGAGTAATAGTAACTAGACATAAAATACCTAGAAAAATTAATGTATAAGCCAGGTGTGGTGGCACAGTCTAATCCCAGAACTTTGAAGGCAGACACAGGTCTGCCTCAGTTGAATTCAAAGCTAGCATAGTCTAGTGAGTTCTAGGCACATTAGGATTACGTGACACAATGTCTTGACAGATAAAGGGGGTGGAGAGAGACACAGATAGATGACATCCAGATATATAAAATCTGATTTTTAAAAATAAGTTGTTGGTTTGAATTACCTAATATTAAAAAAAAAAAAACAGATTGTAAATGCTCAAAAACTCAAATCAACAGTCCAAGTACTCTTATTAATGGAACAGGGAAAATCTAACTTCTTGTGACACAGTACCATGTCAGTTTCTCTAAGATACTACTGATCATAGGACACCATTACTTCCTGTGCTCCTCAATTAAAATGTACAGGGTGTGTGTTACAGTGGCAGTAGCCCACTCACTCACTTCAGGTGCATTACAAATAAGAAAACCACTGAAATGATTCAGCAGGCAGAGTGCTTGTCTAGAAGCCTGAGGAGCTGAGGAGGACCCCAAAACCTACATAGTCAAAAGAGGGCATCAACTCCTGCAAGTCGTCCTCTGACCTCCACACTCACAGTGATACATGTGCACCCACGAACAAATGTAATAAAAACATTTCAATATGGAGAATGTGTATCTTGTCATATCTGACATGATTACAAGAGTATCAGGTCATTAGTCAAACAGGACAGAAAACACCCAATTACATACTCTAGTATACAACAATCTATGGTAATTAACAAACATGAATATAATTTCTAATACTTAGTAAGTACACCAAAGCCTCTTAAGCCTTAATCAGAAAGGCAAACATAATTCCTGCAACCCCAGCTGCTCCAAAAACTAAGCAGGAAGAATGCAAGCCTAACCCTAACCCTAACCCTAACCCTAACAAAGTTCTACCAAAAACCTGGGGTGGGAGGATAGGGCACTGACCAGCCAATACAATGTGACAAAACGGAAGCTCTGACAACACAAGACTAAGCGAGCCCAGAACAATCCTAACCATCCCTCTAATTTCCTAAGACTACAAAACAGGAAAAAGTGTCAGCCCCTTCCTACTCAGGAAAGGCAAGAGCATCAAATAGCTAACTCTACAGAAAGCCCAACAGCACCTGTCAGCATCAACGACTTAAGAGAAAAGCACTCACCTTTCCGCTTCTTTATTTTATTTTCTTTACAAGGACTATCTCTTGGTGAACTGTTGTTACTTGGGGCTGTCAAATCGATTCCTAGCAAACTATAAAGTTTCTTCCTGTCTGGAGCAGGGAAGTGTTTTTCAATCAGTGACTGTAATACCCCTCTGTAGGAAAAAAAACAGTGAACCTTAATACTTCATGTGTTACCTTTAAAGTCCTTACTAAATATATTTAATATGTTTTCTTCAATCTATTGGGCAGGCTTCTCTTGTCCAATAGCATGACGCAGGACACACACTCATCTCTCATACTGTGCAGTGCTTAATCAGTAGGACAGAGAATGAGGAAACAGCTCAGTAAATAAGAGCTTGCCCTGGCAACAGTAATAAAGACCCGAGTGCAAATCCCCGACAAACCAATTAAAACACAGCATTGGCTGTAGCCCAAGTATAAGAGGGCAGAGAAACTGATCCTGAGCACTCATTAGCTAGTCAGTCTAGCTGAAATGGCAGGGCTTCAGTTTAGAGACCTTTCCTTAAGAAAGCGAGAGAGCAAAAGAAAATACTCAATATGCTGCTGTCTGTAAGTATGTACACAGGAGCACGCACTACACACGGGTGTGCACACATAAACACACCATCCATACACAAAAAGCTGTTAAGAATAAAGGGTTTAGTCGGGTGGTGGTGGCGGACGCCTTTAATCCCAGCACTCGGGAGGCAGAGGCAGGCGGATTTCTGAGTTCAAGAGTTCGAGGCTAGCCTGGTCTACAGAGTGAGTTCCAGGACAGCCAGGGCTATACACAGAAACCCTGTCTCAAAAAAACAAACAAACAAAAAGAATAAAGGGTTTAAGGAGGACATAACAGTTATGTGCCTGTAGTCACAACTACTGAAGGAGACTCAGGCAGGAAATGTCTTAAGCCCAGAAATTTAAAAAACTGTTTAAATGTATTTCATGTGTATGGCTTTTTGCCTACATGTATGTCTGTTAACCACACACACGCCCAGTACCCTCAGTCAGAGCTATGGAACTGGAGCTGTGGTTGAGAGCAGACACAGACACTGAGTGTTCCTCAACTCTGAGCCATCGCTCCAGTTCCCTCAACTATTTTTTCCCTTCAGGATTTTAAGACAGTGACTCACTATGGCCTAGAATGGCCTTGGACCCTCAGACCTGCTGCCTCTGACTCCCCAGTGCTAGGAACAAAGGCAGGTAGGTGCTACTATGTCTGGCCTTCAATTATCATCTTTAAAGCTTTGTGAAGTTATAATTTCAATTTCTACTTCTCACCTTTGTAAAATTTTATTTTTAAAAGAAACTAAACGTCTTTCTGTATAGGGATATGTGACACATGGTGTGCAGGTGCTCTCACAGATAAGCGGGTACTGAGATACCCTGGGGCTAAGAGTTATACATAGGTGCTGGGAACTAAAGTCAGGTCCCATAGGAGAGCAAAATGGGTTTAAACACTGAACCATCTTTCCATTCCCCAATACTGAATGCTTGGAGCAGATTTTATGATATGTCAAACTAAGTGTCACTCAAAAAAGCGTTAGTTGAAAAACACGACACTAAATCTGAAGTTAAACCAGCTTCAAGATTTATAAAACAAACCCCAGCTCTTTCTTAGTCTAAAGACGCTATGTAAAGTCACCAAGTGCTCTGCAGTGCAGGATCATGATCATCTACCTATCGTTTCCCAGAAGATAGATTTATTATAAAGGAGGGAAGCACAGAACCATGAAAGCTCAGATAAGGACAACGTTGAAAGGAAATGCTAAAGCTTCATCTAAATACTGAAAAAGACATGTAAAGACATTACTTGGCCGTTGAAACAAAATCATTTAGTTCTCCTCCACCCTCTTCCAAGGCCTCCAGAGTTCTGGCTTCTCCTGTAGACTGCAAACCAATTACAACACACTGAAAATACAAAACATACAACTATGAGTAATATACTATGGCTTCTCACCAAGGCACATGCTAAATATCTAGAAAAAAAATATTGTTTTTAATTTCAAAAACTGACCCAACACATTTAAGTAGTTTGGGCTTCATTTATTCTATGTGAGCTAGCTATGTCAAAATGTGGAGAAACCCAGGCATGGTAGCACTTGCCTTTAATCCCAGCACTCAGGAGACAGAGGCAGGCAGATCTCTTAAGTTTCAGGACAGCCAGGGATAAGCAGACTCTGTCTCCCTCCAATCCCCAGGAAGTCAGAGGAAATACATTATAGAGAACATGACAAACGTCCCTGACCTCACGGAATGCATAATGCTTAGTGTTTTTTTTGTGTGTGCGTGTCCATCCATGTATGGGTGTGTGTTTCACTCTCTATAGTACTGGCTGTCCTTAAACTCTCAATCTCTCTCTGCCTCTACCTCCCAAACTTTGGGATAAAAGGTGTTCAACACCACTGTCAAGGCAACCCTTTGTGTTTTAAGCAAATAAATAATCAACCAAAGCTAGCAAGCTTAGGATAATACTTAGTTACTCAGGAAAAGAACACTCTTGAACACACAAGACAGCATTTATATCTGTTATACTATCCTGAAATTTCTAAACAGTCATCATTGAAGCGCAATTCAAACACTGATATAGCCACAGGTGGCCCTGAGCTTGAGATCCTCTCTTGTTTATTGCTCATGTGCTAGAATGATATATACACACTACCTGGCACTTTTCCCGTTTTTTCTTTGTTTTGTGGGACAGGCTTTCTCTCTTTAGCACTTACTGTCTTGGAATATACACTGTGTAGACCAGGCTGGCCTTGAATTCAAGAGATCTGCCTGTGTCTGCCTCCCCAGTGCTGGGATTGAAGGCATGCAGTACCACTCACTGTCTGGACTAGAATTTATTTTTAAGGATATCTCAAACTCTTTAATACAGGACAAGCTATGGTGGCAAACATCTACAATCCTAGTAGTTGTGACGCTGAGGCAGGAAGACTGCCATGAGGAAGGAGTTCAGCCTAGACAACCCACCAAATTAGTCTCTATGTTACACAATACTACTGTCTCAAAATTAAACCAATGATAAAATAAATTATAAACTTAAAATCTTACTGCGATAGTATTTTTAGTAGTATTTTTAGTCCATTTAAAAGACTACTCCAGAGCTAGGCATAGTGGTGTACACCTTTAGCCTTTAACCCCAACACTTAGATCTCTGTTAATTCGAGTCCAGCCTGGTCTACATTTTTGAGTTCCAGGATAAACAGAGCTATATAATGAGACCTTGTCTCAAAAATTCAAACAAACAAACAAACAAACAAACAAAGACTATTCTAGCCAAACAGCAATGGTGTACACATTTAATCCCAGCACAAAGGAATCAGAAACAGGTGTATCTCTGAGCTTGTTTTAGGCCAGCCTGATCTACAGAGTGAATTTTAACAGGGTTACACAGAAAAACCCTGCTCCCCACCACCAAAGACTATTCCAAGTAAAAGACCTCTTTCCACAAAGACTAGTTACCTGTGCACAGACTACACCAGATATCCTCCAACTTACCTTCCCATTCTTGATCTCTTCCCGGGCCAGCTGCACCACCCTTTTCACTTTGGATGCTATACACAGGTACTTAAAAAACCTCTGGTGAGCAGACCAGAACTGACCCCACATAGATTTCTTCATTCTCTGCTCAGCATCAATCAAATCTGCAGCTTGCTGAAATCGCTCTCTAGCGATAACCCACTGAAAACACACAGACAACATATTACATATATCTTTGAATGTTCTTACTTATAAGTGATCCCTTAAGTCAGACATGTTGGCACATGCCTTTAGTTCCATCGCTCAAGAGGCATGAGAATCTCTAAGTCCAAGGCCAGCCTGATCTACATAGCATAGGGAACTCTAGACCAGCCACAACGACACAGTGAGACCTCATCTTCACAAAAATTCAAAGTGACTCTTTCAACAAAAATAATCTGCAGTCACTTGGGAGGGCCTGGACAATTTTAGGATGCTCATATGTAAATGTCTCAAAAAGTACACTACCTAAAGACGTCGTTTTAAGGTATGTTTATAATGGAATTGTGAATTCAATTTGAACTGAATATGAATTACTATAAAAAAATAAAAACATAAAAAATAAGCTCAAATAAGCAACTGTGATCATCTGTTTTACAGCCTGAAAAACATTCTTCTATGTTGAAAATGTTTCAATGGATAATACTCATTAAAAACAATTACCAGGCACATTAAATACATTGACAACACTTCTTACCAGCTTGACTGCTTTGTTATACATTTTAACATAGCTTTGAGAAAGAAGAACTTCCTCAATTTTGAAGGTCACTCCAGTAAAGCTCAGCTGTCGCGCAATGTACATTCCTCTAAGCTTCATATCCATAGCAACGATTTCCATGGCACCAACACCTCTGAACAGAATTAAAACACACAGTAACTATCAATACACAGAGCAGGACTTCCACACAGAAACAGTTCTGGCAAAAAAAACAGTGCCATAAGCCTCATTACCTGCGTTCTACAGCTTGTATAAAATCACTGAATTCTCTGAATGGAGTCCCCTCACCCCAAATTCCAAGACGGTTCATATAGGCCATGTTGCGTGGTTCAGAAGCACCTAGTAAACATCCAAAAATATTATAGCTGCAAAAGTAACATGCAAATATCTTTCCGATTAAATGTATACTCACCAGTGGCACTGGCATATACAACTCTGGCTTTTGGCAATTTGTTCTGAAGCTCTAAAACAGCCAAGCCTGTTTTGGTTGGCTTTGAAGAACCAACAGGACATAAGTTTTTTGCTTTGTGACATTCATCAAACACTATCTGTAAGGAAGAGCTGAGGAATATATCACATGGCAAAACTATTTTGAAGTGTGGTTTATTAGAACAAGGTCCTACAGGGTCTTAAGATTCCATACATAGATGAAGAACTCTCTGCCTCATCTCTATTCCTTTCCCTTATACTGAAAATTCTGAGGCTTTCGGTCACTTCAGCTGCGATTTTCTTTCCTGACAGAATGCAAGGAAGGATCCACTGAAGCGAGAACTATGCTCTACAGGGGGAATATCAGGAAACCATAAACAACTGACAACTAAGTAAAAACAGCACTTCAGAACGTGAAGTTCTCAGGACAGCAGGAGCTATACTGTAAGCAAATAAGGTGGGCCTCACTCAGTGAATACTGCTTCCTCAGTCTCTTCAAGCACTCGCCTATCATGGGAACAGGCATCATGAACCCCAGTGGGGAAGAGAGAACATAGTAACCCACGAAACACCTAACAATGACTTTACAGTTTCCTAGGACTGGAATCCTGGGGCTCTAACTATGAAATTGATCATCCCCCCAAAACCCACTCATCTCATGCTTTCTAAAGGTCTGACTACATGTAACATTTCCTGCTATTAAAACTCAACAGTTTCTACTGAAGGATACCACTCCATCGAAGTCGTCACCACACCAGTGCAGAAGCTGTTTTAACCTGGTCTTGTATTTACCACCAGACTGGCTTTCACCAATGAGGGAAGAATAGGTAGCAAAAATAACACCTTTTTTCACACTCCCATTGTGTTTGGAAGAAATCTTTCCATACTTAAACTAAAAAAGAAAAGCCAGAATTTAATTAGTACACCTTCCTTGCAGCAGTATCTATTCAAATACACAATACTCAACATAATAAGTTCATGACAGACTCTGAAAAATTAATACATATATGACAACTCATGAAACTTATTCTATCTACAGAGATGCAAACATACCACCAAAATACCACCAACAAACAAACAAACAAACAAAAACCTATCAAATCAGCTTCAGAATGGAAGTTACAGCACTGGCTCCACGGGTACCTGCTATGCACTCATTATAAGCAAAACGCGGACTGGGCTGAAGAATAGAGGAATATGAGCAGAAGGTTTAGCAAATAGGCTGGGGGGAGGGGTGGGATTCAGTGGTTGAACACAGCACTAGTGGCTCTATCCTCAGCACCTCCACTCTGAGTAATGTGCCCATTGAGGTTACACTGCTCAGGAATAAACACACATAGACGTCAGATGCGTGTTTTAGGTTTAAACTGCAATCATTCAAAACATAGCACATTAACTGCAGATCTATTCAACTAAATACAACCTAATCAGAAAAATCACTGACCTACCAGATAAAAAGCCAGTGAGGACATGGATCTCAACAATGGGCCACATATGAACATATGAAAAATAGATTTACGTTCTCTGATTTTCAAGTCTAGTAGGGAGACATTTGTAGGACACTTTGTAATCAACAAAAGGCACATAGCACATACTACGATTTACAGACTTGGAGGGACATGGTTATAAACCCAGCATTTATTCAGGAGTCAGTGGTAGGTAGATCTCTATGAGTTTGAGGTCAGCCTGGTCTACATTTTGAGTTTCCGGACAGTCAACGAAAGACAGCAAGGGCTACACTGTGAGACCTTGCCTCAAAAAATAAAAGGAACAAGATTTATGCCAGGCATGTTTAGGAAGATAGCTGTGAGTTAAGAGACCAACATGGGCTAATATATGTAGTAAGACTATCTTAAAAACAATAAAATGTGCTGGGTAAACATTCTTTTTTTTTTTTTTTTTTTTTTTTTTTTTTTTTTTTTT